GCCAAGGTGCGGGTGGCCTGGGCTCCCCTTACGACGGAGACGGAGCAAGTGCAGTGCCCAAGTGTCCGGATCCGGGGCTTCAAGCTGCGTTATTTACCCTGCAGACGCCCGCCCCGCAGGCATCCTTAGTGGATTATTTTGCCTTCCACACCTTTTTTCCAAAAATAAATTTTGAAATTTATTATTTCCCCCCTGCTATTGTGTTGCTTTTCCCACTTCAGAAGCCTCAGGTTTAGGCCAGTGCCGAGCAGGGAAGAAAGAAATTAAAAACCACGAGGAAATCCTTTTCTACCCACCGCCAGTGCACCTCCAGGACGAATAGTCCGGCGCCTTCCAGCAAAAAAACAAATTTGTGTTAAAAATCTCTAAAACCATCTATACATCTTGCTTCCCCCACACTTTCATAGCTCGCTGTTCTCTTCCACCCACCCGGTCCTTTGTGTTTTCTAAACGTCTGGGACAAAGTTGTCATTTAAAATTTGTATGAAGGGTTTTATAACGTCTCTCTACCGAGCAGAAGCTTTCAGGGAACACCGGCACTCAGGATTCATCAGAATAAAACGGGTAAAGCTGAGTTAATTCTGTTATATCCTCAGAGCAGCTGTTTGAGCAAACGCCGAGTGCGCTGCGCAGACACCCGTAAAAGTGTACGAAAATAAATATATCCGCTGGAGCGAGGGCTCCCCGTGGCCACGCTCAAACCATTCCCGCGGCAGATGCTCCGTTAGGTTTCTTTTCCGTACCCTTCAATGCAACGTGAGCTCGTCGATCAGATCTCCTTGTTGGTAACCAAGGGAATTTTTTATTTTTTTAAAAATTTTTTCAATACAGAAGTTTGCACTAGTTGGATAAATAAAAAGCAAACTGCCCTGGACTTCTCTTTCTGCAGGACCAGGCGGTGGCGCGGGCAGGGCTCTCAGGAGAGCTGGTCTTGGAGGTGTGGGGGCGGCCAGAAAGGTTTTTTGGGGAGGGGTTGAAGTCAAAAGGGGCTTTCGTTGAGGAGATCAAAACAATTATCAGCTTGGAGGAGGGTCCTGAGGGAGAGCAGCTTGTGCAAAGATCTGAGGTAACGCTTCACCCGGGATAAAACCTCTCCCCCAGCCGGCCTGGGCGCCGGCAGAGCATCCCCCGAGCACCCCCCGAGCATCCCCTGAGCACCCCCCGAGCATCT